GTGTGTGTGTGTGTGTGTCTTTATGAATCAGTGTTTTTGCGATTTATAACAGTGAAAGTTTGTTTTTACCTCTGCAGGTAGGCAGTAATCAGAGGTGAGCACAGGTTGATGGAGGGCTTAGCCAGTCCGAGGGCGAAGATGGTGTCCTGCAGCTGTTGGACGGTGGACATGTCGCCCTTCAACGCGATGCTGTTGAGCAAGTGAAATAACGAGGTGCTGTGCATCTCATGTTTTGTCATCTCCTTCTCTTTAATCTCCTTCAGCATGTCCAACGCTTCTGTGATGGAGGGAAAAGTCAGATAAAGACAGAAAATGTTAATGTGAAGAAAAGTTACCATCAGTCACTCTTGTTCCTACAACACGTGTGATACTTTGGTGAGGTGAGGGTGTGAGACTCGCAATCAAAAAAGATGAAGTGATGGTGAGAGTGATTTAGAGGTAAAGGGCGAATGAAAAGAACAAAAGAAAGGGAGAAAGAGAGATAATGCAGAGAGATGAGTAGAGAGAAAGCGAGAGGTGGGCAGAGCTTGGCTGGGAGAAGAGTAGGGTGTGTGAATATGATAAAAGGCCCCTTTAGCTAATTCCATGTGGGGAAAACAAACCCATATTAAAACAGCATTTTGCACCCAGCAGGGATGCAAATCCAACCCCGTATAATGCCAACTCTGCGCTAATTGCTACTTGCGGTTTTCTAAACGAGACTACAATTACCGGACCCCTACAATGGAGGCCGGCTTTTTGCTGTGGCCATGTAGAAAGCACTTGGGGGGCTAAATTATAGGTATGTGGCGACAAGGGCCCGCCGTGGCCCCAGTGAGACCCCGGTAAGCGGGCTGAGGGGTGGATCAGTTTGGTCAAGTCCAGCCGGTAATGGAGGGCTTTTTACCGGGCCACGCGCCCATCTGGCCAACACTAGGGGCTAAATACTGAAAACGGTGCGTGTGTGTATGTGTGTGTATACATGGTGTATCAGGGTAAGGTAATTAAGATGCGTTTACTGTCTATTTAGACAGCTGCTAATGGGCTGACAGCGATACAGCCGCTCTCCACCACAGACACTAATCTATACAGCATGACCAAGAGGAAGGGAGGAGATGGAGAGATGGAGACACAGAATATATTTGAATAATGTGTATTAAGCCAGTCCACCAACTGCAGGGCAATACTGACACTTTGCTTAAAATTCACTCAACAGAAATCCTTGCTCCTTACATTTGCAGCAAACGCAGCGACAAATATATAAAAAACAAATAAAGCTAAAGTGAACAAATGTGGGTTCTAATGACACTAACACCTACATAGCTGGTAATATAACAAAACCCCTCAAACAGAATTGGCACTCTCTACTGGGAACACACATTCAGAGACAAACACACACACTTGTGAGCTGAGGGACAGGGCCACTGGTGAGTGCTTTGGCATCCTAATTTCAGTCTGTCTCTCCATCTCTACACCTCTCTGTGCCAGTTGTTATGGCGATGGGAACCAAAGGCTGTCACAGATTTAATGGGACAGGGGAAAACAGAGGAAGGAAGGGTGGAGTAGGGGTGGCTGGCAATGGAGGAGAATCTGCTGAACAGGGGTGGGAGTTAAAGGGAGGACAACAAGAGGGGGATGAAGCTTGTCAGAGGGATAGGTTTGGTTAGCTGGATTAGGGCTTGACGAAGAGTGAGGAAGAATGGAAAAGGACAAACCTTGAAGCTAGTGGGTTCTCAGTCACTAGTGTGATGATGCATCACACTTTTATCACTACTGTTATACAAAATGTCTGCAATAAACACACTTCAATAGGGCTGCAGCATTAGGACAGTGGACAGTCAAAAGGCCAGCGGCTCCTGCTTCCATTTTCCTCTACTATGATGTAATTTAGTCGATCATTTAACAGAAACAAAATTAAGATTAAGAACAATTTAGGATTGAGCACTATACTATACTTGGCATTACAGGCTAAATAAAAACATTTGCAGACTTCACAGAAGGCATGAAGCAAAGAAGCATTCCTAAAGGACTTTTACCATCAAAGAATGTCTCCTAAGTCTTTATTCAACAACAGGTGCCAATACAGTGGGACTGGTGCTGTGTAATTAAGGTCCACTTATATTTGAGCCAATAGCATAAACAGAGAAAATTGACTGATTAACTAAAGTGGACATTAACAAAAGTAACTTTTAAAGAAAAGCACAAAAACGCTCAAATGCCTGAACAGAGGCTGCAGGGGAAAAACAAGCCGATCACAAATGGTGGTATCAATATTAAACAACTGCCAAATAATGACCTGACCTGTTGTCAAGTCTGTACTGTTTATCAGTTCAGCTGTAACTTATTCTTGCTCTCTGACTGTGTCTCTCTGCATTTCTCCCTCCCTCCTTCTACGCATCCCTCTCTCCATCACCCTCTGACAGACCCACTAATCACTGAGACCAATGGCTTGGAGTTGATCTGCCCAAATGGAGCTCCACTAGCTAACATCCCTTCGTCCACCATCCAATCCCCCTACCACCCCCCTCTCGTTCCTCCTCCATCTCTCCCTTTATCCGTCCGTTTAGCCAGTATGCATATCCATCAGCTCAGCCGAGCATCGTGGCCAGCAAAGCGAGCCAGATCCCCCACACACACACGCATATACACACATATCAAAGGATGGGGAGGCAGACAGGCCAGGTAAACAAAAATCATACAGCTCAATGGTTCATCTAATGTTCCATGACTTGACTGCTAGTGATGTCTCTTTCCCAAAACACACACAAACACACACACACAAAAGAGAACATCACAGACGGTCCAAGACCACCAAAAGCCAGAACAAGTTGTGTTTACCAAAGTGAGGATGGACAGATGGAGGCAGAGGGGCAAGGGCAGGTCAAAGAGATGCCTGATGATAGAGAGAGGTGTACTTAAAAAATGAAGGGAAAGCAGCAAAGGTAGGAGGTGGGAAAGGGGGTGTTCATGCACCTGAAGCACACATTGATATGTGTGTATCAGGTTCACATGATCGATAGATTAAAGCAAGCTTTCTTAAATAGGAAAATATTTAAAGCAAAGTCAAACACATTTTAAAACATATTTAGGGAGTAGCTTTTATGCTGGATTTTACAATTTTCCTTTAGAATTAAAAAGTAACCAGCGCATTAAGATTAGTCACTGGTGTCAGCTGTGGAAACAATCACTGAATCATTGCAGAGACGAACACTACTTACCCTAAACCTGTATCTGCAATTTAGTTTACATTGTGTTCATTTACTAGAAACTTGCAAAATGCATATGGTTTGGTTACTGAGTAATGAATCTTCCCTGAATCTTAATTTAACTGTTTTTTTGCAACTATGTGTTTAGGTAGGTTTATGTCAAAGAAACGATTCACAGAAACAAGTATACGTTACATTGATTACCTTTGTAAGCAATGATTTGAATAAATTATGTTAATGTAGAAAGGCACTGTGTTGTACTGTCTTAGGTACCATTTCTGCTGTTGTTGCTGAACAGGCACTGTATGTTTGTGTGTACATGGGTTTACTGTATAGATATTTACATACATTTACATTTTGTTTATTTTTGTTTTACATTTATGGCTAACATGAAAGAAAGTTAAATATATTTTGTGAAAGTTACTGGATCATCCACAAAAAAATAGCTGGATAGATGGATGTACTGACAGATGTGAAGATAAGGAGGAGGAGATGAGGAGTGAGCAGCAAAAGAAAACTTAAGTGAGAAGAAGAGGAAGTAAATATAAATTGTATAAGAGCAATGTGGAAAGAAAAGAGGGCAACATAAGGATAAACGTGAAACAAGGTAAAAGATAAAGTTGGCTGGCGTAGTGGGATGGGAGGCTTTGAACCAAGGGCAAAAACAACAAAGCCATTAGAGACAGTGAGAAATAAAGCAAGATGCCAGGAGACATGATCTTCAGCTGGGCCTGGTGTGTGCTGGGAGCCAGGCAGACCAGCGTTGGGGTGGGGACAGGCTAACATCAAGGTTAGCCATGTGTGCTAATGTGGCTGACAAGCGTCCCCTCCATATGCACACTCTGGCTAATGGCAAATGCGTTAGCGCTGCCTATACACCCCACGACACACACGGTCACGGACACACCAACCGTCGTGCCGACCAAATGCCTTTTGCCTGAATTCACATGCAAATTTGCGAGTCGCTGTGTGTGTGTGTGTGT